ATCAAGAATTCTTGCAGGGGGAATCAGACCAGAGGCAGAAACTTGGTGAGAAAAAGAGCAGGGCCCATCTGATGTGGGTTACAGGTTCCCAGAAATAGCCCCAGCTGCTGGTTCTGGCACCAGGTCCTTTGGCCTTTGCCTGGGGTGCTCCCTTCATATCTCCTACTTGTTCATCCTCTGTTCTCAGGACATCTTCACTTCATGCCAGCCCTGCCTCATCGAGTCATATCATGTTGTTTTAAAATTGCTCATTCATTCACTAAGTCCGGGAGAATTAAAGGGTCCCTGAAGGCAGAAATATCCTGCCTGGCATGTCTGCCTGGCACAGAGTAAATATGTGTTGTTTTGTATAAATTTCCTATTTCCGGTTTGGTTGGGATGAAGGCACCTCAGATTCACCCAACATTCAGTTTTAATAATAAACAGGCTGCTCTGTTGGTTTCTAACTCAAGCTGACTGATGCCCGGTAAGAATCGTGTGGATGAGGCTAACAAGGAGAGGCGTTTTCACATCCTGTTACACCAAGTTCACATGGTGGCATCAGCCACTTGAACAGATGGCTCCCATTGACCAGCCATGTTAATATAACAGAGTGTGGCAGGTTTGCCTGGGCTTGGCCACACAGCCAGTTGATTGAAGTTAATGAAATGATTAGCAGGTCCTCTGCTTTGCCAGGCTTCTGTAGCTAGGGAAGGTTAAAGGCAGCATTCCCAGAGTTTGTGAGCAGCCCCAGCATGGAAGCCGTGTCTGAGAACTGTAGGCTTCACTGTAGCAGACTTGCGGGGGTCTTGGGAGGGCTCGTGGAGGGTACAGCTGGAGGTCTCATGGGACAACCCATTTTGGACTCCTCTTTAACTGCAATGTGCCACACTGGAGAGAACAGAGACCTCAGAGTACAAAGCAGAGTTACATGACCAATAAAAGAGGTAGCTAAGAAGACACAGCTGCTGGTATGGGCTTAGACGAATGTTCTCCAGGGGTCCATTTTCAGATAAGCCTGTCACAGAGTAAACAGTATGTTAGAGGGTGGCCTTCTAAGACTTGGTGGTTTCTGGACTCTGGGCTGTATCACTAGGATGGTTTGGATGGTTAATCCTGAGTTCTATTTTCAGCCCTTTGGAGTGAAAGCAGGAGCCCATGTGCTTGGCACCAGTTGGGAATTTTCCGTCATCCCACATATAAGGAAGCACTGACCTAACAGAGGAGGCCTGGCCAGTATTCCAGTCATTCCCCATGTCATCACCCGAGACCTGGTTTAGGTGGGGGGCGAAGGGGCATGGTGGCATGAGATCCTTTCCAAGGGAGCCTTTGGGACAGCCTCAGTCCTGGGTGTTCAATAGGGCCTAACAAGGCAGCTGTTGAGATCTGTTAACCACAATGGTTGAAGGGCAGTTTTCTGAGGCAAGGAGTGGAGAGTGAGGTCCCTTAAAGCTCACTTCTCGCCTGAGGAGCAGTGTCCTGCCCTCAGGGCATTGACTCATTCCATGGCAGGGCAGCACCCACCGTTCTGGTTTGACCAGCATGAAACAAAAGGTAACTTCATTGATGCAAAAACTCAGAAATTAGAAAGGTTGATATTTCAAGACCCAGCACTTAAGGAAGATCTGTCACCAAACTGTACAAGCTGGCAGAGCTCGGCCATGCCAGGATCCAAGCAGCAATATAGTCATTCAGAGGCCATCAGAGAGGGTTAGGATTAGGGAAAGCCCATAGGGAAAGCTGAAGAGCTTCCCGCTCAGAAATTACAGCCCCATGCAGGCTACACTGAAATGTCCTGAGAGGCAACAGACAAATCAACACCAAGGACAACTACGAGTCCTTCAGGTGGTAGGTGGGGTGTGAATACAGTCAGGGAGTTTTTCACTGAAACAGTGGTCAGAAGCTGACACTGCTTCGCTCCCATCAGACATGAAAATCTTCATGGTAAGAAGTGTTAGAGCCCATCTGAGGAGCACTGCAGTTGAAACCTTGCTGTTACATCTCTTTAAGCATGGGTGGGAGGGGACAATCTTGGTGTGTTTGTGTGTGATGAAAACTGAATTCTGGGTTAAAACTCCTGCATTTGCCATTTCTTGGCTGGTTACATAACTGTACAGCCCAGTTTTGTTCTCCATAAAGGCAAATAACCCAGGACCCGTTTGACAGAATTTGGAGGATCATGAGGTAAAGGGCTTACCTGGCACAGTGCCTGGCTTGGAGAAAGTGTTTGGGGAAGGTTCATGTCAATATTGACATTTGAGTCATCAGGTTTGTTACTTACCTCGGGGGGCTGACCCTCCTTGCCAAGTCATTTGATGACTGTAGTTTGAAACCTGGTGGGATGGGTCATCCCGCTTCTCACTTGTGTTTCTCCTACAACAAAGATAGTCGGGCAGGCCTGGCCCCGGGTATCAGATTTAGCTTTTCACCAAAGCAATCAAGTCCCAGAGTCTTCGTTGACAGTCTCCACTGTAGTCAGCACTGTCTCGAGCTGAGGCCCGCCCTCCTCCCTGCTGAGCACAGTCAGGCCTCTCCTTCCCAAAACCTCTGATTCTCCTGTGGTCGAGGGATTTCTTATGACAGGGAGATCCCCAGGCATGTTAACTTTCCCCTCGAGGCTTCTTTTCCAAGGCTACTACCTGGAGCAGAGGGAAATACGGGCTTTGAGTTAGAAATACAAGTTGGTTTTGTTGTTTCTGTGAGGTCCTGGTTGTTCACTGCCCGACCTCCTCTCAGTTTCTGCCCCTCTCCGCAATCCGAGAGTGAGTATCTTAGTGACGCTTCTGGTCTGATAAGTACGGTGTTTTGATCCCCTGGCTCTGCTTAAGAACTAAGAATTTTAATGTTCAAAATTATTCTTGGTAGTAGAAACAAGTTAGTTTTCTTCTCTAGATTAAGATTATTGTTGGGTAAATACTGAACTTTACCCTCTCCAGAATATCAGCTTTTCTTAGCTAGTAGTACCACGTTGAATGTCAGCTGGACATATTGTATAGAACGAGCATGTAATTCCAGTGACCAGTCTGATTAGAATATGTTCCCTGTTTTATTCTGTCTTTGAACTTAGAGTCAGGGCAGAGGCATGAAGGTGCTTTTAAAAAATTAGATATATATAAATTAATTAATTAATTAATTAATATAAAAAATAAAAAATTAGAAACAGCCCTGCTGGGTGTGGCTCAGTGGTTGAGCGTCGACCTAGGATCCAGGCAGTCGGGGTTCAATTCCCGGTCAGGGCACATGCCCAGGTTGCGGGCCCGATCCCCAGTGAGGGGCATGCAAGAGGCAGCAGATTAATGACTCTGTCATCATTGATATTTCTCTCTCTCTCCTTCTCCTTTCCTCTCTCTGAAATCAATAGATATATTTTAAAATAATAATAAAAATAATAAATTAAAAACAGAGTATAAGATTGGTATAACAATGTTAAATACATTTTGATAGTTAATTTGAAAAGCACCCATTATCTATAGGATGTTATCCAGTTCAAATAAAAGAAAGGAAACAATGGAGTTATAATAACACCTATCCCTTGTAGAGAGCTTTGTAAGTGCCACACACAATTCTAACTACTTCACATATATTAATTTAACCCTCGTGACAACCCTGTGCATTAGGCATGGCATTAGAAGCAGCATTGCTTAAGGATTAGGAAAACACCCTCCCCCCCAAGTGGAGTCTCTAGCCTTTAATTCAGGGGAGGCAAGGATGCTCTCGGCTGGGATCGGAGGAGAGAGCTTCATGAATGAGATGGGGCCCATTGTCCCTCAAAGGATGTATCATTTCTATATTGTTCCTAAGAGAACCATGAGCTAATAACTGTTGGTGCCTGGGACTAAAATAGCTCTCAGTTTACTCTGAAAATAGAGTTTTATTTTGGCATTATGAAATGATGACTTTGCCTAGCAAATGCCTTTTGGATAACCTGAGACCCTCCCTTAACCCAAAGTGATGCATGTGTTACCCAGGTCAAAACACAACAGACACAGAAACAAGGTTGTAAAAACTGTCTATTCAAATTTGGCACAGGTTCGTTGGAGGTGCTAAAATCAAAGTAAAAGGGAATTAATAAAGAAAGAACATTCACAAGGCCTTGATGATCTTCATGTTAGATATTTGGTACACATTTTGCCAATATCCCCGCTTTAGAAATGCCTGCTTTGGGAGTACATTCTACAGAATGACAGAGGCTTTATATTTTTGGGATCCCTCTCTTGAAGAGAATTTCTATGGCCCTTCTTTCTTACTTATTATAGTAGTAATAAAATCATAAGAAAGGTAAATGTTTATGCTGGCTCAATAACAAAGACTATATATGCAGCATTGCTTCAACTACTCTTTTATGTCACAAAATATATTGATTTGCAACCAACTTAGCAGTTATTTAGTTACAAATGATGTTCTTTGCACTAAATGACACTTCAAGTGCGAGATTTCCTCTTATTCCTTCTTTTGATACAGAATTCAACCCAAAACAACTCTGAAGCCTTACGTTTTGTTGTTGGTCTTATTAGAAAGAGAAATGTTTTATGTTATGTTTTGTGCTCATTATTAATTAGGGAGCTGACCGTGCCCGTTTGCATAAAAAGGTAAGTTTAAGAGGACGGTTGGTAAAATAAGCATTTGCCCCTCAGAGCAATATGACATGGATATTTTCATGGTCCAAAATCTCATAATAGTGATAAGTACCAATGTATAATAATATATGACAGTAAGTTAATGTGAAGGACATAGATATGCAAAGAAGCATTGAAGGATGATCTGTACAAGAGCGATATGGAGAAAAGCACAACCACGGATATTGTTAATAGTATATTGCAAGCTTTGCGCTTTCAGTGTGATCCAAGTGAATGAGTCAGACTTGGCTTTGTAAGTTTCCATATGCTTATATAATGAGAAAATTTTCTTCTCAAGGGTTAGGCTTATAAATATTTGCTTCATATGATTCATTAATTAACCATGTGAAAGTGCTTAACTAGCATAAAACTAGGGGACTTTCGGTGTCCGTTTTGTTTTTTCAGAATGAAAGTGCCCTTGTGAAAGAGAAAGAGCTGTCAATCGAACTTGCAAACATCAGGGATGAAGTTGGTAAGTAGGGCATTGAAAATGAGGAACGTGCAGAATGTCTTTTCCTGATACCTGTAACTGTGTAACAAAAGCAATTATGTCTCATGCAATAAGCCAGAGCAAACCTGCCTAGACAAATGAAGTGGCATACCCCACACAGCAGGGGGCTGTTGCAGCCTTGCAGGGAGCCATAATTTTTACGTCTCTGTGGTTATAAAGACAGCTTCGTAACAATGCACGGTGGAGCTAATCAGACCTTGACTCTGCTTCTCGCAGATGGCAGCCCATCCATCCATCTGTGTTTGTGCTGTGACAAGTAGCCCTCCGTTTAGGCGCCCCTTGGTCAGGCAGAGCAGCTGCCAAGAGCAGCAGCCCCGCCGTGGTGGGCTACACGAGGGGCTCTCTGAAAGATGCAGGTGCTCCGTGGCTGCCTGCCATTGTGTGCCCCGCCCCGAAAAACTCTCTGTTATAGCACAGGGTCAATAACACAAATTTGGGTGGATTAAAATCTGAGATTCATGTTGAAACTCCTGCTCTTCTGCTGATAGAATGGTGCTCAGTCTGAGCCATAAGAGACCTCACAAACGGCAGGACAGTCCCCAGACCCCAAGGCTTTCACTTGAAGCCAAAGATCAGCCCAGGTATTTGCTAGCTTCTCTTTCTTGATCCCATTTCCCTCTTGAGGACCTGTTACTCTCTTTCCCCCAGAAGCAGTCAGCAAAGGTGAAATAAACAGCCAGTTCCCCTTGGCCTGCGACTCTTCTCTTTCCAGTCGCATTTGTCTTCCACCCGTGGGGTCCTGGGAACAGTCTGCTCTGTAGGTGTGGTTCCTGCCAAGAGCAAAGGGATCAGAACAGCCCGAGCCATCCCAGCACCTTTCCCTCCAGGCCAACCATGCATGTGGGATTGAGTCTGAAGGCCAGACATTTTGGGAAAACCTGGCCTTGAGGACAGGGTAGTGATGTGCAAACATAACTTTCCCACCCCCTTTCTTTTAACTTAATTTTTTTTTTCTTCACTGTTTTGTGATTTCTTTTCATCAATAGGGGTCAGCAATGGCCTCTTCTCCCCTCTAAGGAGAGTGGGGCCCCTGTGGGTAAGCAGGAAATAACAGTTCTTCCCAGCCTTAGCTGCAGGGAGCCTCCACCTGGGCCACGCTGGGTGGGGAGCCCAGGGACGAACCTGACACAGGCTTTCTGAAAGAGGCTGCCAGGAGTGGCAAGGCAGAGCTTGTGGGGATGCTCTTAGGAAGCCACGGTCCACAGGGCGCATGCTTCTCCATGAAGTGGGTAAGTTCTTGCGTGGTTCCAAGCATGGCCTTTGAAGGCACGTGACCCATCTGGTCACATAGGGTGAGTGGGCTAACCTCTCTGTCCCTTGTTCCCCTTCATAAAGAGGAAAGTCAGATAAAGAAGATACNGTGGCCTTTGGAGGCACACGTGACCCATCTGGTCACATAGGGTGAGTGGGCTAACCTGTCTGTCCCTTGTTCCCCTTCATAAAGAGGAAAGTCAGATAAAGAAGATACTGGTGAGGAAGGAGCCTGTAAGGGTGACTCTCATAACTATTGGGTTTATAGAGCCTTCCATCCAAAAACGGGAAAATCTTTCACTCTAGGCTGAATCCCTCCCCAGAGAGATGCCTACACCCCTCTGGCCAAGGTTCAGGTATGGGGGGGTGCACCCTGACCCAGCTGGATATGGTGGGCCAAACCCACTGCAGCTTCCCTCTGTCTTTTCCAGGAGCTCTGAATGCAGCAAGAACCACACAAAGATTACTTTGGGTTTTTTGTATTTAAGTCTTATTTCATTTCTGCATTAGTGCTAAGAATAGAAGCAGAAATCGCCTGCCAAATGAAAAAGCCATGGGTTGGGGGAGGGCGGATGGCCTCCGCAGCCCCACAGCCTGGGCCACTCAGCCCAGCCTCCAGCCCCAGCGGATACTTCAACGGCAAGCACCTGAGCCACTGCAGAGACTGCATTTGTGAGAGAAGAAAGCCAGGGGCATACGGGCTCAACAATAACTAACGTCCATAAATTCTGGTGTCTTGACCTGAAATGTATTCCCTTGAGAGGAAAACAGCATTAAGCTTACAAACCTGACCTGCAGATGCTCATAGACGAAGAGAGATGGTCAAGCCTATCTCTAAATAAAAATTAGGGATTTCTAAAGGTGGTAAATTCAGACATGGCAGAGGGTAAGAAGCTACAAAAAGTAGCTTGTAGCCTGCAGCAGGGCACTTCTCTAAACGGGGGCTAACACGCAGCCCCAGTGAAGCCCCAATGTGCCCCAGCTGGCATGGGGCTGCTGCCACCCAAGTGCAGGAGCACTTTTTTTTCTTTGCACAAGGCACCGTGTGGGCCAGCTGTGACCCAGCACTGTGTACCTACCCCTACCAGGGATGGGGAATAAGACTCAACTCATGCCCTCGAGCTTACAACCAGAGGCTCCGTGGAAGAGTGACTCTCTGAGGCGGGCCTTGTCGGATGGCTGAGGTTTGGGTGCATGCGTGTAGGAAGGGGAAGAGCATCGTTACCAAGCACACAGCGAAGCCCGTTGCCCCCGCGCGTGTGCCCTGGACCAGTGGCTGCCACGGTCCTTTTCCAGGTATTACTCGGTCTGCACACCTACAAAAAGAAAAGCAGTTGCTCCCCATCCCCCTTTTCACGTTCCAAAAAAGCTTTCCATGCTTGACATTTAATAGTTTTAAAACATTCTATGATTCTGATAAATTAGAGTAGGCTACTCTTCCCCTTTGATTATTTGGGTTTTTACCACTTTTTGCTATTATGCAACAACAAATGTACTATTTGCAAATTACTTTTTTCCTCTTCTATTATTTTCCTGGAATATAGTCTCAAAAGTGTGGACCAATAGTTTTGATAGGATTTGACATTTGTTCTAACCTCATCTGTATGTGAAATGTCCTTGATATTTATTCTGTAAAAATCAAGGTAAAAGATTATGGTGGATTTAATCGCATTGTATATAGAGTTGCCATATAAAGAGAAAATTAAATCAATTTCTCTCTCTCTCCCTCTCTCTCTCTCTCTCACACACACACACACACACACACACACCCCTGAGAAGAGAGAGATAATGTCCAAATACGTACCAGGGTGTAGTTTGGGATGGAGCTTTTGTGGTTCAAGAGTAGAGTCCNTAATGTCCAAATACATACCAGGGTGTAGTTTGGGATGGAGCTTTTGTGGTTCAAGAGTAGAGTCCTTGGGGAGTGGCTGAAAATTGTTGTCAGTTGTGTTATGTTGTATCCCCTATGGCAGAGGTGGGAAACCATTTTTCTGTCAAGGGCCATTTGAATATTTATAACAGTATTCGCAGGCCATACAAAATAATCAACTGAAAAATTAGCTATCCCCAGCTGGCATGGCTCAGGAGTTGAGCATTGACCTATAATCCAGGAGATCGCAGTTTGATTCCCCAACCATGGTATATGTCCGGGTTGGGGGCTTGATCCCCAGCAGGGGGCACAAAGGAGCAGCCGATCAGTGACTCTCATCATTGATGTTTCGATCTCTCTCTCTCCCCCTTACTCTCTCTGAAATCAATAAAGACATATATTTTTTAAAAAATTAGCTATGAGAAAAGCTCCTAGATCTATTGAATTTCGAGTCCTGCCTGTGGTTGCCTTGGCACTTGGCAGAGCTAGACCAAATGATTTCTCAGGCCTTCCTGCGGGCCAGACATTCCTCATCCCTGCCCTATGAAGACAGAAATCTCTGGTCATCCCCTTGAAAGCTTCTCATCTTCAAGTCACCTTCCAGGAATGATGGCTCTTGCCTTGTCTTTGGAGTTGGCCTTCACTGGGTCTGTCCCTGGAAAAGCCTTCCCAAGCTCCAGTGGTTGAGGGGTGAAAGGCACAGCAGATCTCTAGGAAACCAGAATCCAGTAACACATCCAGGGAAGGAGAAGCAAAAACGCTAATAAGAGGTTTAATATTTGATTTTTTATCATACTTTAGAATTTTCCAGAAAATGTAATTCTTGAAATGTGAGCCTTGATTTTTGGATAGTGTCATTCCTCAAATTGGAAGTCAAATACTGAATAATTGAAGGTTCGCTCTTACGTGTGTAAATGTTGAGATAGATTTATAAGATGTTCTTCCTACAAGCAGATTTCCTTTTGAGACCTTAGACTTCAAGCTGTTAACTGCATCAGGTGGATGCTTATGATCCTCTCTCCAGCAAAACTGCTGTATTAGAAAATCTGAGCCTAAAAAAATATGAATTAGATGAATTATACAGGACAGAAAGACATATGCAGTGCATAGCTAGGTTCAGATGGAGCCTCTGGCTTACACTCCTTGGTGGCCCTGGTGTTCCCCAGCCAGCCAGAAGTCCTGTTGAGATGTACATGCAGACTTGAGCTGGACCAGCACTAACTCCACTACACGCCTCCTGCCAGATTCCTTCCTCCAGGATGCTCACAACTACGACTACCTGAATTTGGTGTGAAATTTCCTCTTGTCTTTAAAGTTCTTAGTCACCCAACTATCCTCCTCCTGGTCTTATTTACCTGCCACTGCCCCCAGTCCCCAAGGCTGATGGACAAGGCTGTCTTCTGTTTTCATATGTGATTTCTGTCACCCTCTCTACCCCCTTCCTCTTTTGAATTTGTTACAACCTGTACTCTGACTTCCCACCCCAAGCCAGGTCCATTGGGTTTTTATCTTTCTGCCAGCTTCAGACTTAACGTGGACTTTTCTTTTTATCTCTGCTGAACACTTTAAAAACACTTAGCATGAGCCTTGGTCAGTGTGCTCAGTGGTTAGAGCATCGGCCCGAACACCAAAAGGTTGATGGTTCAATACCCAGTCAAGGGCATATCCCTGGGTTGCAGGTTTGATCCCTGCCCCAGTCGGGGCATGTGCAGGAAGCAGCTAATTGAAGTGTCTCTCTCACATCAATGTTTCTCCCCCCCCCCCNCTTGGTCAGTGTGCTCAGTGGTTAGAGCATCGGCCCGAACACCAAAAGGTTGATGGTTCAATACCCAGTCAAGGG